CTCCGTCTCAAAAAAAAAAAAAAAGAAAAAGAAATATTTTTAGAGTAAATTTTTTAGATTTTCTTCAGGGCCTATTATCTGTCATGTTGGAGTATGGTATCTTATTGCCACAAAGCATCTGTTTTGTCAGTCCAAAGATCTCTGTTATAATGATAATGCTGGTCAGTTGTGTCTGAACTCCAAAGGGAGGAGAGTATAATGAGGTACATCTAAACCCACCTGCCAGTCATGGCCTAACCTAGTTTTTCAGATTTTTTTGAAGTTCTCTCTGCCAGAAGAGGAGTCCATTCAGCTGGTTGGTGGCTTACAACTTAATTTTTGGTTTAGAAAACACACAGAAAAAGAAAATCACTTAATAAATTCAATCTAAAATAGATTGGTTAAAAAAAAAAAGTGCTTTCTGAATATTCCTACATGTCAAAGAAAGAGAAGTGATAAGAATAAAGATGGGAAATACCCCTCATACAAAAGATTAGCGATTTGTTTTACTATCTTGGTTTGGGTCCACCAGCAATGAGGATTCCTGTTTAGGCAGCAAATTTACACTGTGAGGAAAGGAGGAAAGTGAAGGAGGGAACAGAAGATGAATGGTAAAAGACACATCAACAACCCACCTGACTCAGGAAAACTGAAGATCAACCACATGTGGAAACATGGACTAAATTCCTCTGGGCTCTTCCACCTGAGAGATGAGGAAGCTGAGGTATGTATATTCCCCATCCTGTCCTCGCTGATTGTGAGCTGTCTCTCCTGTTCTCTTTCAAGCTGCTATAACAGGTTCCTGGTCACTGTGTAATTCATAAAAAACGGAAATATATTTTCTCACACTTCTGGAGAACGGAAGTTTAAGATCAAGGCATGGGCAGGTTAAGTTCTGCTTTCTCTCCTTTCAAGATGATGCCTGGAGCATTGAGTCCTTCAAAGGAAGGAAGGCCATGTCTTATCATGACCGACAGCAGAAGAGAGAGAGAGATTCCAGTCCCATGAACCCTGTTTATACTGCCATTAATGTATTCCACTAGAGGGCTCCACCCTGATGACCTAAACACATCCCAATAGGCCCCACATGGCAATACCTTTACACTGAGAATTAACTTTCCAACAGATGAATTCTGGAGGACATAGGCAAACCATAGGACTTTCCTCAGAGATACACATTCCAGGACATCTGGCCAATAATGCATGTAGGCAGAGCTCTCTGCCCAGGATGATAAAGAACATAAGTCATGTATATTGCCATTGGAAGTGAGTACAGGTCCAGCAAAGGGGAAAGCCCTAGATTACAGATGGGGACTGCTACATTCATTATAGTACAGTTAACCCTTGCATAACTTGAGTTTGAATTTTGCAGATCCACTTATATTTTCTTCTGTGTGTGTCACCTGAGAGCAAGTAACCTAATTTTACCTAATGAGTAAATATATTTTCTCATTTTTATGGTTTTCTTAAAAACATTTTTTTCTTTAGCACACTTTATTGGAAGAATAGAGTATAAAATATATATAGTGTAAAAAAAAGTGTTAATCAACTATTTATTTTATCACTAAGGCTTCCAGGCAAATGTAATCTATTAGTACTTAAGGATGCAACAGTTCTACATAGGTTTTCATCTGCACCAGTGTTCAGTGCCCCAACCTCCACGTTATTCAGGGGTCAACTGCTCTTTCAGTCTGTAGCTGCATCTCTCTGGAACAGCACCTTGGCAGGTGGCTGCAAGTAAAAGAATCCAGAAAATAACATCTCAAACTGTGCTGCATTGGTATAATGATTATGTAAAACCAAAGGCATTTAGAAAGCACCAAATGCACAAAAACCCTTTTCCTAAATATCCCTTATCTGCCTAAAAGCAAATTCTCCAGAAGAAAAACAATTGTCAAGGAAATTCTTCCTGGGAATTTTTATATCAGGGAAGATTAACACAAAAGAGGACTCAAAAATAGAAGAGACTGGAAGTTGATGCTTTATCCAGACAGGCTAATACCTGTTCTTTTGAAGATGCACTTCTATTCTCATGTATTCTCTCCAGGTTGCCTACACTTCCCAATTCCCTCTTACCTAGAAAGGAAATATGAACAACTGGATCTCATTGAGTTATCTGGGTAATCATCCTGCTATGATATCCTGCTGCACTTTAAGTGAATTTTATTTGCCTTTTCTCTTATTAATCTTTCTTTTGTCAGTTCATTTTCAGCAAACATTTAGAGGACAAATGGAGCTTTCTTCCTTTATCCCAAGATGAGCAAGTTCCCTTAAAATTCAGGCTGCTTACAGAGCAGCAGGAAGGTTTGTGCACAGGCTACAGCACTGTGATTTGGCTCCCCTAGTCAGGCATCAGTAAAATTTTGTGGAGTCGTAGGCTGCAGCCCACTGATGCTGATGCTGATGTAGTTGGATCCACTTCCCCTGCTACTGAGCCAGGCTGGGACATTTTGGGGCACATTAGAGATATGAGATATAACGAGTGCAAATCCCTGTCCAGTTACATCTGGATCCAACTGATTTCTCCATGTACAAAGGCAATTGCTTGATAAGAGTTTGAGTGTCTTTTTCCTAAAGATGTTAACAGGGAGGCTGGTGTCTGGGTCAGGATGTTGTCCCCACACACTGATCAAAAGTATAAGAAGAAAGTGTCATTGAAGTGCATGGCAGGGACATGATCCATGCAGTGGCCACCCTCACTAAGAGAGATGAACTTTGGAAAATAATATGCGATGGCAGAAAAGAAGGTAGACTATGAAGGTGTCCAAAACAAGAACAAGGTGCAGTGCATTTAGTCTCTGGGTATTAAAGAGACCTGTCACTCTTGGTAGTGGTGGATCAGTGAGTGCTGCATGCATTGAGGGAACACGGTATCATCTCTGTGTATCTGTAGTAAATTGCTTGATCTAATACTAGTAAGAACAAAGACATAACACCATTACCTAACACTTACAAATATATGTAGCATCATGTCGAAACATTTTATTTTTAATTTTTTTAGAAAGGAAAAATGTTAAACTCACAGAAATGTTGCAAGTGTAGCAAAATTACCTGCTTCCCTAACTGGAATTTTATGAGTCTTTTGAAGACCTGAGAAATCTACTGTCTAACATTTTGTCATGTGTTTCCTACAAACAAGAATATTCTCCTAAATAATCCCCATACACCAATGAAATACATTATTCCATTGACTCCTGAGGAATATTTTAAATTGTCAAAAAAATACCTAAAAAATGTTTCTCAAAGCAAAATAGTCCCCAGTGGAAACATATTCTCTGCAGAAACATTTGTGCTACCCTGGTCTGACCTGGGACACCTGGGGACACTGAGCCACTGCTGAGTTACTGAGATGAGCTAGCCCTGCAGCTGTGCCCAGCCTGCCCCATCCCCTGCTCATTTGCATGTTCCCAGAGCACAGCCTCCTGTCCTGAAGACTTATTAATAGGCTGGTCACATTTGATGTAGGAGTCAGAACCACTCAGGACACAGCATGGACATGAGGGTCCCCGCTCAGCTCCTGGGGCTCCTGCTGCTCTGGCTCCCAGGTAAGGAACAGGAACACTAGCAGTTTACTCAGCCCAGTGTGGTCAGTACTGCCTGGCTATTCAGGGAAATTCTCTTACTACATGATTAATTGTGTGGACATTTGTTTTTATGTTTCCAATCTCAGGTGCCAGATGTGACATCCAGATGACCCAGTCTCCATCCTCCCTGTCTGCATCTGTAGGAGACAGAGTCACCATCACTTGCCAGGCGAGTCAGGGCATTAGCAATAATTTAGCCTGGTATCAGCAGAAACCGGGGAAAGCCCCTAAGCTCCTGATCTATAAGGCATCCACTTTGCAAAGTGGAGTCCCATCAAGGTTCAGCGGCAGTGGATCTGGGACGGAATTCACTCTCACCATCAGTAGCCTGCAGCCTGAAGATTTTGCAACTTATTACTGTCAACAGCATAATAGTTACCCTGCCACAGTGTTACACACCCGAACATAAACCCCCAGGGAAGAAGATGTGTGAGGCTGGGCTGCCCCAGCTGCTCCTCCTGATGCCTCCATGGGCTGAAAGTGTTCCTCAGATGCAGCCACACTCTGATGGTGTCGGTAGAGGGAGACATGAAGTCACCTCTGCACCCGAATTCTTTTCTCTTTCTCAGCCCCAGCTGCACAGACATAGCAGTGCCTCTCCTGATTTACTGAAGACAGAGATCATGACACCTGAGTAGTCTAGTTTATGGCTTCAGTTGGAATTCATATAACAGAGAAGACACCACTATAGATGTTCTAAGGAGGAACTGTCTTAATACAGAGAATTAGAGTCTAAACTACTGAAATCCGCATAAAATGTAGAGATGAATCTCTAAATTTAATGTTTTATTTGCATAGAAATATTTGCCAAATGGGGCATACAGGAAAACTCAGTGGTCTTCAATATATTGGGAGAACGAAGAGCAAGTTAGCATTTTATGAAAAAGGGAAACTGTTACCTATGGCTCTTTGAGAAAGTTCATTGGCACTAGAAAGGGTTGGGAGCTGGCAAGCTCACACTTTTAAGCAGTGGTGGACAAAGTGAATCCTAGAATTATATCAAGTTATCTTAGAAGTTATGGATCAATTTGGTTTCAGTTTACAAGAAGCCAAAGCAATGAAGCTTGCAGAGAATTTTGTTACTGAAATACCAGGGATTCAGTGAAGATCCTGCTGCTCAGCACACAGAAAGCCAATCACTAAGACAACAAGCATTGCCAAGAAACAGGTTTTAATCAGGTGCTGCAGCCGAGGAGATGGGACACCATTCACAAATGTATCTCCCTGACCAACTAAAATTAGGGGTTTATATAGCAGGAAAGAAATGTGGGAAAACAGGAATTAGAGAGGGGTAAGGAAGATAATTTGGTCAACAGGAAACAGGAGGTTAGGCAATCATAACGGGTGAAGGTTCTGGCGTCTCACTGTCCTAATTCAGTGATATGTAAGGTTCAGCTCCTTTGATAGTATCTGAGAGGCCTGATGGTTGGTTTCCTGAGAAAAGATCTCAGATAAGACAAATTAAACTATCTTGAGTTTTAAGACTGGGGGAGTCAATTTCTATGTTTATTCAAAACCCATAAACATTAGTTCCCTGGGATAATAGGGCCTGTTTCAATTGCATTCTAGGCACAATATTTTGCACCCTGAGTGCCTTTCCCTCCTGGTTTCTTGGCTTTGTTGTGTATGATAAGAATAACTCAATTCCTAGAATTAACTTTCACACTACAACCTTTCAAAGTCAAGGATATAGTAGTCATGAAAGTTGATACTAGAAGCAGGATTCTCTGGTGCTCCCTCAGAAAACAGAATGCATCTGCCCCTGCAGGATGGGCTATCTAACCATGTGGCCCTCAGTCCTGTCTGAAAGCTTAGGGGTAGGGGTGCTGATGCACTCAACTTCGTACAGCATCTTTCCAGGTGTTTCTGCAGTCCTCATCTCTGTCCCTGTGTCTGTCTTAGGTACCAATGGAGAATATTCAGTCATCCTTCTGTGACTTCCAAATCTCATGGGAGGACCTCTTATTGGGCCACTCTATAGGATACAAGAGAGGCAAAAAATGATATTTATGTAAGTTAAAATGATTTTTCCCCGAATGAGACCATTTTAAAAATTATATTTAAAGCCCCATGTTGAAAACATATCCAGCTTTATTTTATTAATGCAAATTTACATTTGCAAATATTTTCAAGATTTTAAAGGATGAAAACACAATTATTTGTCCATGGAATGATAAAACACCTCTATAATTAAATGGAGTAAACATTTTATTGAAAATTTGTACTCACTGAAATAAAGGAATATATTTTCAATATCTGAAGCTATGTTAGAAATTATTGGACTTAAATTCAACTGTGAGGTTTGGTTTGGGATGTTGTTCACTCCTGAGACCTGTCACAAGAATCTTGTGTCATGTGTAGTCACTGCTGTTCAGCTTTGTCCTCAGATCATTGATATCTGTAGGCTAAAGATAAGCTCAGTACCCTGCAGAGGAACCACTCTGCTGAGCCCTTCCTTGATCAGCCAGGTGATTGTGAACATGAGCGTCCATGAACATGATAACAAATGTTTACTATCAGCCACTGCATTCTGTATTTAACCAGTTACCAATCATTATGCATAAAAGCTTACTGATACAGTATTTACACCTCTACCTATATGTACACACATGTATTTTTTCTTAAATTGGTGGTATAAATGTGAATATTCCGTAATCAAATTATGAAGTTATTAAAAGAAAATTAAAGACAAAATTAAAACTACTATTTCAATTAAGGTTACCTTATTTATGGAAAACTATGCATATGTGTATATAAGATACATATAAGCAAATACATATGTTTTTGATAAAATGTTAGATACAAATATATATAGTATTCATATTTAAGTACATTTATTCTATCATATATGCAATATGTGCATATTTATAAAATTCTTCTCTAAATTAAATACATTTAAAATTTTTTGAAACATTCCATAAAATAATGGCATTCCGGACCACATATACTTCTCACTCTTGCTACAGAAAATTTCTTTGTAGCCTTTATTTTTAAAATTCTACCAAATGCTAGTCCTTACCTAAAATATTTTTCCAACTCAGTGGAGCTCCAAGGGTAAGCCGAAAGCAAATTTTGACTAATGTTGAATATTAACCATTATATCCTATGAAAGTCTCCATTATGTTCAGTGATGATATGCCAAATAGAGTTCTCACAACAATGGATGCTGGATGGAGTCACATCAGTGCCATTGTCAAGGAAGCCCTGGAAATGTAAAAATGATAACAATGAGTAAACTGCAAGGGTTACATCTGATGATCACATTGCAACGATAACAGTGTTGGGGTGATCAGACCCAGCACCAGGTCGTGGGGGTGACAAAGTCTGGCGGAGTCAAAGGATTGAGAAAAGACAGTTTGAGAGAGAAAGGTGGGCACCAGGGGCCATCGCTAGTGTATGGAGGCTGCAAAGGCCCCGAGCTCTGGGAGCCCATGCTATTTATTGGTAATCCAACAAAGAAACAGGTGGTGAGAATGTGGAGGTCAAAAGGCCGCATTGCATTAAACACATGATTTACACCTCTGATGGTTTAGCATTTGCTCTGCTAGTTGAGATAATGGAGAGCAGGTTCTTTTAACTCAAAATACAATCAATCCTGCGAGAGCAAGGAGAAAGGAGCCAGCAAGTGTAGACACATTCCAGAGCCACGAGCCCTGGATTCTATCCAAGCCACAAGGGATTTTATGCCCTGGGCTTAGATTATGGTACATCAGGATAGCCTTCCACCCTTTAGCATAGAGCTTGGTGTTCCAAAGGCCACGAGGGGTTTTAGACTCTGGACCCCAGACATGTTCCAAGACTGTTTTACATTATGTAAGACATGCAAACCCTGCCTCAGTTTCTCCCAACATTCAGCTTTCCCCAACATAACAGCAATGTAATAATATTAGCTGTTGGTTTTGACAGATCATCAGGTCTTCAAAGAAATGCAACAAAATGATTGCAGACAAAGTGATTCTGGAAGAGCTATGACTAGACGTTTCAAATATGAGCCAAAATTTAAAAAAAAATGCTTTCCCAGTGAATATTAATCAAAATGCCATTAATGAGCAGGTGATTTTTAACAGTGAGGGTGATTCAACACCATGGACTTCAGTCAGTCACCTTTCCCAGCTTTCCCAGGGAGTGTCATGAACCAATGTTATGGAGGTTCCTATGGGGACTCAATAATACGAATTTCAAATAACTGAGACTTAAAGGGCTACTGGCTCTTCTGAACACCTAACTTGCCAAGAAGAATGACCCCTTCTGAACCCGTAACATTGTACCACACATCAGGGATCAGACGAACAGCTGGGGTCAGGTGATACTGGTGGACCTCACGTAACACGAAGAGGGCACTGGTTATTTTCCTACATATGAATTTGCCTTTCTTTTTGGTTATATTTCTGCATAAACATCATTTGAGGATTTTCCAAGTGCTTTCATCAGAGTTCGGAAATTCTTCCATAATATGGCTTTGGATCAAACAACTTATTCACCTCCAAAAAAGTTAAGCAAGGGTAGCTCATGCTCTTGTCATGTGCACAGGTACAGCTTTCCCTATAGACAGGAAAAACCCATTATTAGTCAAGCCAAGCTGGCACACAAACCCTTGTGCTATCGAATTGCTATGCTGTCAGATGTAGTGGACGCTCTGAAACATTAACTGTGTGAATGGTGCTATTACTCCCATAAACAGAATATTTATATCTTGAAAATGAGCTGTAGACTCATCACTGTTATGCCAACTAAACAGCTTGAAATACTCTATTTAGTCAGGGCTGTGGTTTTCTAGTTGATGGTTCTTAATCCAAATAGTTGACATGACAATTATACCATTAAATTGGAAGAAATGATATGATAAGCATGTGAACATTTAGACTTAATACAATAATGAATAAGTTGTCAACACAGGGTGTTAGGGTATTTGCTGGGGCCGTAGATCTAGCCCATGTAAAGCGAGAACAAATGGAATTGATGTTACATATTTTAGAGAGGAAGTACAGAAAATATGGACCCTAGGGGACCTTCTGGAATGTTTCTATTTATTGCCATTTCCACTGGTAAAACTCAGAGAAGATTTCAACAGTCATCAGGATGAAGTTCTAGGGATCACAGCCTTGTGAAGCATTTCCTGCACTTGGATCTCCAGTGAGGCAAAGGGAAGATGAAACACGTAGTGGGATATGGAGGTGTAAACTCCAGGGGCTGCCTCCTGGTCAGCTTAAACACTGAAAAGCATATTTATGTTTTCTCTTTAGTTTTATCACTGAATCATTTGGATGTAAGAAAAGCGATTATGGCTGGTTAGGCAGAAAGGTGTTTATTATCATGAATTAATGGATAGAAAACATTTGGGGAAACCAGAGTGGCAGCTCAGGCAACTCCAAGTACTCCTTTTGCTATTCTTTGATCCTCTCCCTGCCCCGTGTTTTCCACAGTCACAAAGGTTACCGTCATTTTGAAATAAACATGGCAAGTGAAGATATTGTGCCCACAGGACTGTGCTGCCTGGCTGTGACCCAGACCAGGAAAATGATCACATTTGAGTGAGATCAGGCACTTCCCCTCCCTCATCTCAATCCAAAAGCATTCTGGAGTAACACAGCCGACGGGCATTCTTCACCACATCTGGGACGTAGGAAGCCAAGGACATGAGGAGTAGCCTTTCCAGATGATACCATAGAGAAAGTATTGCCAGAAACTAGAGAATAAAATAAATATGAAAGAAGCTGGTGACAATAACTAAATGCGTCATGCATATATGTATTTTAAATAATTTAATCTTTTCTATACACCCTTTCTTTAAAAAAAAATTCAAAGTGCTATATTCAGCCACCTTTAAAATTTAGGCCAAAAATTAAATAATAAGTAGACAGAATAATGGCTCATGAGAGAAGAACATTTTTTCCTAGATGGTGTTGGGCTGAACAGATTGGAGGTTCCCCACATTTTGGGGAGCACAGTGCTACATGGGTAGCATGATGTTCTTTGTAAAGGAAATCTTTATGTTGGGTTGTAGCATTTTGCTGTTGATATTAGTAATTTCTGGAAATTCAAGTGTAGAAACACGTGTATTTATAATAGAAAGCCACAGCGTGGACTTGGACAGAAATAACCCCTGTACCCATGAAAACAGATGAATCTACATGAGACTGAAATGAAGATGTAATAAACACAGGCAGGGCTGCAGAGAAATGGGTCACATCTCTAGTAGTTGATAGCACAGCTGCTGTCCTTCTGGGGGCCGTAGTGAGAAGAGCTGCTCTCTTTTCTGCGGGAGACACCTTGAATGTGGAGTTTCAGGCAGCAGGAGCTCCTCCCAGCCTGCGCCAGAAGTGCCATTCTTGAAATTGCTGTAGAGGCTTTGCCTGGAGACTGTTCCTTAAGGCTTTTCAACAATTTGCAAGGAATTTAATATCCTCTAGTAAATCCTTTTATGCTTCATGGATTTGACATTAGCAACAGGGAATATACACCATTTACAGTGACATCATTCACAGCCTCCTTTTTTTTGTGGCGAAATATAATGCTTTCCAGGAGGACCTGCCAGAGGAAGCCAATGTGAACAACAATCCACATCACCAAAAATGCAAGACAAATAAGCTCAGGAAAGCCACTGGGTTCTCACGTAGCTGCACTGTCCCCTGGTACAAAATGGAAGAGTGTAAAACTCTTAGCTCCACCATCAGAGAGATGGTGCAGTGTGAACTTCTGAGCATAGTCAGTCAGTATTTATAGACATTTACATACTGACACCTTTAACACCAGAATACAGGCAAAAGGAAAAAAGAAGATAAATTGGACTACATAAAAATGTAAAATGGGCATCAAAAGACATAACACAGTGAAAAGGCAACATGTGGAATAGAAGAAAATATTTGTAAATCATATATCTGATAAAGGGTTAATAATATCTACTGTATAAAAATAAGTCCTAGTCCTATATGTCAACATTAAAATAAAATACCTGATTAAAAATGAGAAAAGTACATGAATCGACATTTCTCTAAAGAATATTCTTTAGAGATAATTAGATAACTAGCATAGGAAAAGATACTTAACATTATTAATCCTCAGAAAAATAAAAACAAACCCACCTCACACCTATCAGGACTTTTTTTTCTTCCGATAGAAAATGACCAGTCTTGGTGAGAATTTAGGGAATTGGAACTCCCGTGGACACTGCTGTGGTTATATAAATGCCTCACTTGCTGTGGGAAACCAGATGGAGATTCCTCAAAAAATTAATAATGGAAATAATACGTAATTCAGCAATTCCACTTTTGGACATATATCTAAGTAATTAAAGACATAAACTTGAGGAGATATTTGTATGCCCACATTCAGAACCGAATTATTCACAAGAGTCCAAAGCTAGAAGCAACTCAAATGTTCACAAAGGAGGAACTGGTAACCCAAATGTGGTATATGCATACAATAGCATGTTATTTAGCTTTTAAAAGGGAAATTCTGACACATGCTACAACATGGATGAAACTAGAGGACATTACACTAAGTGAAATAATCCAGTCACAAAATGATTAGTGAGTTGTGATTTCACTTTGGTATTTGCAGAACAGTTTCCATTTGTCTAGAATCAACCCAAGCCTCTTCCCTTTCTTGCTTGTAGTTTTCTGGAATAACTGTAGAATGTTCTGGAAATGTAGCATCCTGAGATCGGGCATGATTGACCAGAACAGCCTGGGTTGCGTTTCTGTCCCTACTAGAAACAGGAAATTCTTCAACACTGTAGCCCAGTGTGCCATGTGATTCTAAGACACAAAACCTAGCGTGGGCTGCATTCCAGGGTCCCTCAGCTGCAGTCCTTGTGGGGTATGCGTGGTCTAGAGTCGATCAGGCCCTGGCAGCTTTGTGCTTTCTCTGACTGACTCTCAGTAGCTAGTATTCCACTTCATGTAACTGGTTGTGCATGGGAATTGTGTCTCACTAGATTTGGGTAAGTTGGCAACCAGTGCACAGCAGACATTCTTGGCAAAATTTGTGCAGTGAGAAGGTTGGATTCAAGAGAACCATGGCTTATTGGTGAAGCTGGAGGAACAATACTCTCCAGTACCTGGCCCAAGACAGAGACATCAGCCTGGGGATGCAAGGCCTGGACATGCAAATGGATGTTTAATGAGGAAGGAAGATAAATGGGACATGGTGAGGGGCAGCGTTTGATGTGGCAGCGAGTCAGTGGAACAGCAGAGAAGCCGGACAGCAAGAGACAGCAAGAGATGGTATTTTGTGAGAAGATGGACATAGCGATCAGCAATGGGCAAGACAGTTATTGGAGACATGGCAAGACGGCGACCAGTGAGAGAGGGCAAGATGGTGATCAGTGCTACAGCCATCAAAGCTACAGAGTTGCTAACATTTCAGAGCAGTTAACACTGGCCAAAGGGTGTTTTAAGAGCCATCATCTTTCCTGACAGGCGGTGGAGCCAAGCAGATGGGCAAGTGGCCACATAGCCACTGCGTCATGCAGGCCAGCCGCTCCGTGCCCCAGTTCCCCTGCAGGAGCTCAACCCACCCAAGCTGGGGAGCCTGGAGAGACTGGGTCTTCATGCAGACCCCACGTTAGAGACTGCTTGGCACCATTTTGGCTCCTGCACACCTGTAAGGGTCCCCTCTGCACACCTGCCCCATATCAGATGATCCAGGGAATCAGGCCTTGGGCTAGATAGTCCATTTGAAGTCCCCCATAGCACACCTGACGACATCCTCGTTTCTCCTTCCCTTAGTCATTTTTCCTCGAATGCCATTTTATTTATCCACCAGTCATTTTATCTTATTTTCTGCCCCGATATATGCGTCTGCTTTGCAGTTTTGGCTTTGGCTCGCTGCTGATTATGTTTGTGCAGTTGTTTAAGGCAGCACACTTGGTTGTAAGAATTCTCCTATTCTGTTGACTCTAAGAAGCCAGAGTCACATTGTTCTATGGCCCCAACCAGGCCTTTGGGGCTCACTGTTGGCCACCTCACTGAGGCTCCAGGATTTCCTGCACTGGTCAGCCCCTGGATATTCTAGGGCTTCCTGGCATTTGGTGTGGGGACCCTCCTAGGCTGATACTCACGTACTGTGGGATTCAGCATTTAGTATTCTTGGCCACTCCCTGGATGCTCCCGGGTTTTCAGCATTGACGTTCCTCCTAGGATTGTGGATTGGAGCCTCACCCTACGGGAATCCTGGTTTGCCTTTTCTTGTTTTCTGCCCTAAAGGTATCATTTTCCTTAAGAGCACTATGTTTTCTTGTTGTTACTTTATTTACACTTTTTCTTCTACATTTTATTTAATAAAAATACTGTTTTAAGGCCGAACATGGTGGCTCACACCTATAATCCCAGCACTTTAGAAGGCCAAGGTGGGCAGATCATTTGAGGTCAGGAGTTCAAGACCAACCTGACCGACACAGTGAAACCTGTCTCTACTAAAAATACGAAAAAAATGAGCTGGATATGGTGATGCATGCCTGTAATCCCAGCTACTTGGGAGGCTGAGGCACGAGAATTGCTTGAACCCAGGAGGCGAAGGTTGCAGTGAGCTGAGATCGCACTACTGTATTCCAGCCTGGGTAAAAGAGTGACACCCTGTCTCAAAAAATAATAACAATAAATAAAAATTAAAATATAAAAATAGTGTTTTAGTCATATTTTGTTCACTAACAAATGCTTAGAGTCCACTTTCATAACATCTTGCTACCTCTTCCTACACCTTCTATGCAGGAAGTGGAAATCTGAGATGAGAACAATGATGGCCCAGTCACTTTCTAGAAAATGGTCTGCATATTGAAACTGGGTTTTCTTAAGTTACTGATTTCCTAAATTATAGAAAATTTTGTTTTTGAGACTGGGTACGGTGGCTCACGCCTGCATCCCAGCACTTTGGGAGGCCGAGGAGGGTGGATCATTTGGGGTCAGGAGTACAAGACCAGCCTGGCCAACATGGTAAAACCCCATCTCTACTAAAAATACAAAAATTAGCCAGGCACAGTGGTATGTACCTGTAATCTTAGCTATTCGGGAGGCTGAGGCAGGAGAACAGCTGAAACCCGGGAGGTGGAGGTTGTGGTGAGCCAAGATCGCGCCACCGCACTCCAGCCTGGGTGACAGAGCAAGATTCTATCTTGGGGGGGAAAAAAAAAGTAAAACAGAAAATTTTGCCTTTGATTTGATAACAAGTTTCTTTTAAAACTTCTGAGATTAGTGTCTTACAGATTCAACTGTTGTGTTTTGCTGCTTTCAGCTTGTTCTTCCTTTAAAAAGGCCTGGGATCATTGCTGTCTCCTTTTGCTTCTTCATCAGCTGCTGTGACTTTTTCACCTCCAGTTCTGACTGTTGGTGCAGCCTTGATGCTGAAGTGTTTTGTCTTAGAGTTCTGTGGAAGCAACGTTTTCCCCCAACATAGTAT